AAAAAAAGAAAAAAGAAAACTAGCATTCAGTCTGTTTTCTTGGTACACAGTACAGGGCACATTTTCCAGCCAGAAATAGTTTTGTGGAAAAACACCTCAAGCCTTTTCATTTTCTTTGCACTTTTACGAGTCTGGTACAGCGAAGTGCTTTTTTCTTGTTGCTGCTTTTCTAAAAAAAGCCAACCTGGCTCTGACCTACTGGTGCACATCTTTTCCAGCTGATTACTGTTTTCTATCATGCATGCAAGCCCCAATAATTAGAAACATATATATTTGCTTGGATTAAATAATTTGGTATTTTGTACTTGATTTTTTTTGGATTTTGTACCTCCTAGCCCACATGTCTACCTCCATATAAAATGACAATAACTTCTGTAAATCTCTGTTATACCTTCAGTGGGCTAACAATACTCTATTCATTTGTCACTATACAGCTCTGGATGAAGCATATTATCAAGTGTCTTATTAGTTAGTCTGGGCAATAACAGTAATTAAACAATACATCTGAACAGTTACATGACAGATTTTAGGATTATGCAGAAATAGAGAAGACCTATTATATCTGAAGTTTAATTATGATCTTTTATGAGTTAAGTCACTATACAGCCTCATCTAAATCCAGCCTCCCATAAATCCTAAGTGATTAGATCTCTTGGAGAACATCAACTTGTAGGTAAGCCAAGAAAAGAAATGTTGTTTAGCAATACATTTAAGTTGCGATCTTCATGTCAGAACTGGACGCACAGAAGCATTTTAATGAGACAGTATTGCTTACACTAGGGAAAAGCAGCAATTATGATTACCCTCCATCTCCAGAAAATAAATAGAAAAATCCTCCAGACAAAAGATTTCAAGCGTATCTTCAGGTCCAGATATTTCATGTCTTAGGGAAAAGTACAATTAACATTTACAGCTATGACAACCAATATTCCAGTCCAATCAGCATTGATAAAAATCCATCACTATAAATGAAAGCTATCTTTTACTTCCTACATCGCAAAAAAAGCAGAAATAATCAGGCCTAGAAAAGCCTAAAAAGAACTAGTAGTCAGGATACATTGGAAAAAAAAAATAAAAAATGTGGCATTAAAACTACTAAACCATACAGGCCAATTACCTATAAATAGTGGTAGCAATTTAGACAAGACTCACTGTTGATGCACACATAAATTCAGCTGAGTTTTTAAGATCTCTTTAGCATTTACAAGGGCACTAAGAAATATAGTTCATTTAGATGACAAGCTTGAAGCTATGGCTACACTGGCATTATGTGTTATTTCCAAGGCCATTTTTAAGTCTCAACTCATTTACTATAAAAACTGCAATCATGCAAGAAAGATCTCATTCAAAACTAGAGTATATTTTTAAACACACTAAAGAAAAAGACAGGGTCAAGCAGCTATCGCGCAAGGTTTAGTACTTGTATTGTCAATCCAAATACTTTACAGAATCACTGAATGATACAGGGTGGATGGACCCTCTGCAGCTCTGTAGCCCAATCCCCCACCAGGAGAGTCTCCATTAAGTCAAGTCACTCAGGAGTTTGCCCAGTACAGGGTAACATCTCCAAGGAGGGACATTGAAACCTCTCTGGGCCTGTTTGACAACTTTCGTGCTAAAAACGCTTCACCTTGTACCTAGTTGGAAAGTCTTGCCATGATGCACCTTGCCAAAGTCTTGCCAAATTTCCACCTTGTTGCATCTATTGCTTCCTACCCTGTTCCTGTGCACCGCAGAAGAGCCTGGCTCCATCCTCTCTACACACTCTCCTCCCTCCCAGGTACACAACAAGATCTCCTCCTTCCTCTTTCTTTCTCCAGGATGAAGGAATCCAGCTCTCAAGCCCATCTCACATAAGGTACTCTAGCTGCCCAACCACCTTGCTGACCCTCCTTTACTTTGTTCCAGTATATAGATGTTTTTCTGGATACTTACTGGACCCAATATCCCAAATGCAGCCTCGTGAATATTGAATAAGAGAAGATTTCCTCCTTGTCCTGTTAGGTATGACCTTGCTCATATAGTCCAGGAGACAATTAGCCTTCTTTACTGCAATGCTATACAGTTGAAATCAACTTGTGGTCTACCAGAACCTCAAGCCCTTATTATCTGCTTATTCCATCCATCTCTCACCAGTTTGGCTACAAGGAAACTACAGGAGATTGTGCCAAGGGCCTTATTAATATCAACATAAACCGTTAATAATGTCAAGAGTAATACCTTTAGTGAATCCACAAATTACCTGTGGTACAAAATGTGTGGAGGTGCTGTAAACACCAACACACACTTGACTCTCACATCAAGAGCTGTTCAGATAGAAAAGCATTATTTAGCTAATCTTGGAACTTTTAGAAAAGCATCTCCACAACAAGCACATATATTTATTGGCATGACAGGGTTAAGTAGATGTCAAAAGGTTTCCACAAAGGCAAACTGTGAATAAGTGAAAAACTTACACTTTCCAGTAAATATCCCTGGTTCCTTGGATGTAAATTCAGGCAGTGGGTCTGACACAATTACCTGCTCTTGAACCTAAAAAGTAAATCAACGGATGTGATGAATACAGAAGGTAGGAGCAG